CGTACCGTAGCATATATAGATATTAGCTTTCTGCACAATATAGGTACATTATTTTAGTCAAGGTTTGGGTTAGGTTTAGTTAGGTTCTTCTCTACAATATCAATGAAAAAACTCATAGTTATTCAAAATTGCGAGTTTATTTGTTGTTACAAAACAAAAGAGTTACATATGGTGTTAAACTTAACTAAGGAGTGGCTTTGGATGTTGAAGCGTGGCACTGCATGTCCTCAGCATACTTTTCATAAGATGGTACGTAACCACTGAGTGCTAATCGCAAGCATGATGTCATATGATCGTCAGTTAGTCGATTGCGATATTTTGACTTAATTTTCTTCATTTCAGAAAATGCAGACTCGCACAAGTAAGTTGACCCAAAAAATGCCGTCAGTTGAAGGGCGATTTGCCTTACATTCGGATATTTATCTTCAGATATAAAAACGCCAGAAATTTGTATCAGATACTGTAGCTTTGAGATGTATTTCTGATATGATCTGCACCAACTCATTTTCAACAGAACATGAGTTCATATTAAACTGACTTGCTATTTTAGTAGCTAATTCCTCAATGTTTTTACATGAAAAAGGATCACTCATAAATGATGCTATATTTTCCAATTTACTGCAATCATAAAAACGCATTTCGAATTGTCCCAAAATATTTGATAATTCAGCCTCATACGTATCATAATTCAACTGAGGAATTCTTGCTTTCAAAGACGGAAAATGTTTCAGATCCTTTCTTTTCAGTTGATCTATCATAAGTTGCAATTTACTTTTGAATGCGTTTACTGCGCTAATCATCTCAATAATAGTTTTTCCTTTACCTTGAAGCTCCAAGTTAACGGTGTTTAAGTGCATTGTGAGGTCAGTCAAAAATGCCAAATCATTTAGCCATTTTTCGTTTTTCAAAATCTGAGTGTCATCACCTCTTTCGTCTAGAAAAGCTGTTATTTCAGGCAATAATTCCTTGAAACCTTTCTAGGAATTTTCCGCGACTCAACCACCTGATGTCTATGTGAAGAACTAAATCAGTGTGTTCAGCTGACTCCCTATCTTCCAACTGTAACTGAAAGAGCCGCCGTTGCAAGCTACGTGCACGGATGGAATTCACAAATTTTGTTGCAATGTCCATAATTTCCTCCGTGTTTTAAACTTTTGAACACAAAACTTGTTGATGTATAATGCAATGGAATGAAGAAAATGAAGGGAATTTTTTATTAGCTCGACACAATGCCACAAAACCGTTTTTGTTTCAAATCATTGCTGGTGCTCCATCGGTTGTAATGCACATTAATTTATATATTGGTAGCTCGTAGTTTTTTACAAAATTTAAGAAAACGTCATATATATCTTCGCTACGGGTCTTCCCCTTCAAAAGAATGATTGTCAAAAATTCTTCCTTAGCCAACATGTCATTGAATACCATCCGAATAAAAATACACAGCTGGGCAGTGTCTGTTATATCGATGGATTCGTCGAACTGTAAAGAAAAGTATGTACATTCCATGATATCATGTTTTAGTTTATCTGCGATGTCTTGACACATGACTTCAATACGCCTTGTGACAGTCGGACGAGATAACTGAAGTTCTCTAATAGCAGACATGATTTCTGTTTTATTTTTAAAATCTCCAAATAAAGTCTCACCCGCTTCAATAAATGCTTCCTTCACCACCGATCCATCTTCAAATGGTTTCTTGTGTTTCGCCAAAATATGAGATATTTTAAATGACGCGATCGTAGTAGCTTTTGATTGTTTGGCTGGTCTTGTGAACATGGATTGTTCTTTTTTCAAACAAGATATCAAATCACTTACTTTTCGTTTTTCTTAATTCACTCTGTGGCGGAAAATCCTTTTCATAGTTTTTATGAACCGTTTTATGATGCCTCTCTAATGCCTGGTTGCACCAACATATCTTAAGCTTAAGACGTGTCTAGGTAGGCCTCAGCTCAGACTGATCGACCGACCACGACCAAACCGTCCGACGGCGATCAACCAAATTTTGTATTTTTATTTTTAAGAATATAAAGAATATTTTAGAATCGAAAATTATGGTGCAACGTCGTCATCATCATTCAGCCCATACTCGTCCACTGCTGAACATAGGCTTCCCGTAGTTCACCCCACAAATTTCTGTCCTGAGCCGCCTGCATCCAATTTTGATGTGTCCGTTTCAGGTCATCCGTCCATCTTGTTGGTGGTCGTCCTCTATTCCTAAAGGCATCTTGTCTGGGTCTCCACTCAAGAATGCATTTTGTCCATCTGCCGTCCTTCGTTCTCGCGACGTGCCCTGCCCAGTTCCATTTTAAGGTTGATATTCTTTTGATTGCGTCGGTTACTCCCGATCTACGGCGCAATTCTGTGTTGGGTATTCGGTCTCTCAGGGTTAATCCCAACATGGACAGTTCCATTGCCCTCTGTGTTGTTCGAATTTTGTTTGCGGACGTCTTAGTAAGTGTTAGCGTCTCCGCACCATAGGTTAGAACCGGCAGCACACATTGATCGAAGACTTTTCTCTTCAAGCAGATGGGAAGAGCTGATTGGAAAACATCTCTTAGCTTTCCATTTGCTGCCCATGTCAACCCTTCTTCTTCTTTTTGTGCCACTCCTATCGGAGATTGGAAATCATCAAGGCTATTCTGACCTTGTTTACGGCTGACCTAAAGAGTTCATTAGTGGTGCAGCCATACCACTCTCTCAAATTCCGCAACCATGACATTCTTCTGCGGCCTGGATTCCGTTTTTTTTTCTATTTTTCCCTGCATTATATTTTGAAGTAATGCGTATTTATGTCCTCTCATCATGTGACCAAAATATTCGAGTTTTCTTCGCTTTACCGTTAACAAAATTTCTGGGTCTTTTCCTATTCTTCGTATTACTTCACAGTTTGTTATTCTTTCAACCCAACTAATCTTCAGCATTTGACGGTAGCACCACATCTCGAAACTTTCAATATTTTTCATGTTGTTCTGTTTGAGAGTCCAGGCCTCTACACCGTATAATAGCGTGTTAAATACATAGCCTCTCAGCATTGTTAAGCATTGTTAAGTGAGAGTTAAGGCAGCCCGAGCTATAAGCAGAGCTGGGCTAAGCTGGAGCTTAAGATCTATTGGTGCAACCAGGCATAAGTTACCACGCTTAGGTATTGCAACTGACGCACGACAAATAACACAAATGCACTTATCCTTTACCATAGAAAAGAAAAATTCTTCCTCCCAATCCTTTTTAAAATTATACGTTTTAGATTTCTTCACTGCACTCATTTTCCACTATTTAATAATAAACTTTGTATCGACGTAGGATCGCTATCAAGTTACAATTCAGAATAACTCCAATTCCTGCAGGCGCAACATTTATATCTGCGTGAACGAAAGTCTCGAATGTTTCCGTCAAACGCGCCGCCCGAAACTAGACTGTACTGTCTCTCGTCTAGAAACAACACGGCTTTTCTTTGACAAGTGCCGCGCGTTCCTTTAATAAAGCCACCTTTTGCCGCAAGCAGTATTATTTTATTACGTAATACGTTTTTGTAGTTGATAGAATATCATCCCAAATTTGATTAATAATTATAATAAATATTGAATTAAAAAAATAATTAGTTAATATATGTAAATATAAAATATGCTGTGTGGACAGTATTTTGTTGTTCCCACTGAATTGCAATGATGCTTAGTCAAGCATTCTATGTATTTGTATAGTTCAGTATTAATAAAAACGTTTAACTCTGCTGACAGTAGTTTAGTTACCTACCTACTTATTAAAATTTTTTTTCTTCTCGAGATCTACCCAAAAAGCACTCGCGATCGACCAGTCGATCGCGATCGACCGTTTGAGCACCCCTGCTCTAAGTAATACTAGTATCATCACCAAAAAGAAAAATTTTTCCATCGATTTTTAAGTTAGTGATGTCATTTATAAAGATATGAAAAAGTAGAGGACCCAGTACTGAACCTTGTGGTACTCCAAATACAATGCTTTTGTGACTAGAGTCAGTATCATTTGCTCGAACTAGTTGTTTCCTATTTCTTAAGATTGAAACCAAGATTGAAACCAATTCAAAGAAATGCCTCGAATTCCGTGGAAATTTAGTTTTTTATCAAAATGTCATGATTTACACAATCCAAAGATTTGCCATAGTCACAAAAAAAGGTGGCAGTATAAAGATTATTGTTTAGTGTTTTGATAACCCTCACATAGTACAGAAAACATAGCATCGCTGGTATATTTATTAGATAAAAAGCCGAACTGACTTCTCGTTGACTCCTTTCTCGTTGAAAACAACATTTTATCACAAAGTCGGGCTTTTATAAGTCTCTCAATAATTTTGGATAGAACCGGTAGTAAGGAAATAGGTCTGTAGTTGCAGACATTAGATTTTTCATCACCCTTATGAAGAGGAATAATAATGTTTTTTTAAAGGAATAGTTAATTAGTGAGACCAGGACAGCCTTTGAAGTCCTGGTCTCACCTGAAATTCATATTTATCAACTGGCCTTATAAAGAATGCATTCGAGACCTTTTTTGAATTGGGGAGATAGAAAATAGGATCTTATTGTGGCAAAATAGCTGATGTTATATTTTTACTCACATTAACAAAGTATTCATTTAGATTTTCCGGGTTTGGAAGAGAAAATGTTTGAGCTGTGTTAGTTTTATTTGAAGATCGTTTATTATGTACCAAGTTTCCCTTTCAAAATATTTAGAGCTTCCAGACGATGCTCATAGTACATGTTTTCTATTTCTACATCTACTTCCTAGTTCTCTTTCTCAAGCAGGCTCCTACCAACTATCCATCTATCGCATACCAATAGAGTGTGTGAGACAGATGAGACAAAAGAGACGAGATGTTGAGAAGATAGGTTTTATCAACAGAATAGAACACTATATCGCAGAAAGTTTGAAAAGCTTGAGGTCTTCTAAACTCTATACTACCAAAATGATAATTATCATGGATTTTATATTTGGATTTTATATATTTCTTAATTAAGTAAGGTTCTTACACGTCTGCTTTCTTCTATATAACCCTTAAATTTGTGATGGCATTTTCTTTCAAGTTCTATTTCTTTCTTAGTGTTTTCGATACGATCTCTATAAACATTTTCTTTCTCTAAACAAGCGAGTTTATTTTGTTCTTCTCTTGTGGCCTCCCATTTTTTAAAATAGTTTACTTCGTATCTTCCATATGCTAAAATATTTAACTGGATATAATGATAACAAAATAGAAATTATTCCTACTGAAGATGCGAACAGGAAGTGGCATATATTAAAAGATGCTCTTATACGCACATGTGAGACAACACTAACACCAAAGCTGATCAAGAATAAAAATGAATAGATGACCGATGAGATTCTGGATTTCATGGAAGCAAGAAGATCCTATAAAACCAAAGACAAAAACATGTATAATATTATATACACAGAAATAAGGAGAAAGATCAGAGATGCAAAGGAAATATGGTATAGTGACAGATGCGAAGAGGTTGACCAGTCGGTGAAGAAACATGATAACTTAAACCTTCATAAAAAAATTTGGGAAATAACAGGCACTAATATTAAGACAAAATCAAACATACTGCTGGATAAAAACGGCAAAATAATTATAGACGTCGGTGAAAGGCTTAAAATATGACAGGAATATATTCAAGAGCTATTTAAAGACGAACGGACTGAGATAGTACTAGAGCAGGAAAAGTTCGACAAAGGCCCAGATATAACAGAAGATGAGGTATTAGAGGCGATAAAGCGAACAAAGAATAACAAGGCAACAGGTCCTAACGAAATACCTGTAGACAGAATACGGTTAATAGAAGAACAGCAAATTGGAATATTGGTCGACTTATTCAATACAATATACAGTACAGGAATCATTCCAAAGATTGGCTGATGTCAACATTCATAACACTACCAAAAAACCAAATGCAAAAGAATGCCAAGACCACCGGATAATAAGTTTAATAAGTCATACGCTCAAAATATTTTTAAAAATTATACACCCGAGAATACACAACAAACTTGAGCGGGACATAAGTGACACACAATTTGGATTTAGAAATGCACTGAGAACGAGGGAAGCCCTGTTCGCTGTGAATGTACTTGTGCAAAGGTGCATAGATGTTAATCAGCCAGTATATATGTGTTTCTTGGATTACAACAAAGCCTTATCGAATTACTTGAAAAGAAAAACTTAGATATGAGAGACATCAGAATCATTGACGACACTGTTTTATTAGCGGAATGTCTTGAGGATTTACAACAAATGGTTGACAGAGTGGTAGATGTCAGTGAAGAAAACGGACTGTCCCTAAACACAAAAAAGACACAATTTATGGTAATTACAAAAGCCCAACAGCGCCAAGAAAACATAACAATACATGGAGAACAAATTAAAAAAGTTAAAAAATATAAATATCTGGGTACAATAATTAATGAAAATAATGATTACATAGAAGAGATTAAGGCAAGAATAGGACAGGCAAGAAATTCTTTCAACAAACTGAAAAAAGTACCCTGCAACAGGGACAGTTCAATTTCTTTAAAGATAAGACTTCTGAGATGCTACGTGTTCTCCGTATTATTTTATGGGTTGGAGGCTTGGACTTTAAAGAAAGATGTTTCGGACAGATTGGATGCCTTCGAGTTATGGGCCTACAGAAGGATATTAAGAATAAGTTGGGTAGATAGAGTCACGAATGTCGAGGTGTGGAGAAGAATGGGAAAAGATAAAGAGGTCTTAAATACAGTTAAAGTTAGAAAACTGCAATATCTGGGACATGTTATGAGGGGCGAGCTTTATAACTTGTTGCAATTAATAATGCAAGGAAGAATGCAGGGTAGAAGGAGTCGCGGAAGAAGACGCATCTCCTGGTTGAATAATTTGAGAGCTTGGTTTAACGGCACTTCTGCTGACCTTTTTAGAGCAGCGGCGTCGAAGGTGCGAATTGCCATGATGGTTGCCAACCTTCTTGGAGGAGATAGCACGTGAAGAAGAAGAATGATAACAGTTATCGGACTGGGAGAGATGTATGGAAAATTTTTACTTTAGTTAGACATATCAAATAACACTATATTAAGTTGGGCCGCCTTTATAAATTCAGGTTTAAGGATCATGATAAGTAAAAATGTTTAAATATTGAAAAATATTAAATAGAGTAGGAGTTAGTAGAGAAGAAAAAGTTATATTACAAAACCGCATCGAAATTGTTATCCAGAAATTCCGTGCACTACCGACCAAGAGGGGTTCGCCAAATATATTAGGAAATATGACATCTATTTAAACGGAGTAATACCAAGATCATGGCTGAAGTCAATGTTTATTGCTCTACCAAAGAAAACAAAATCCATCTTCTGGGATGATTTCCGAACTATCAGCTTAATGAGCTCCATTTTAAAGTTATTTCTAAAAATCATACATCAAAGGATCTATACTCTATGCGAAAAAAAAATCAGCCATACACAGCTTGGTTTTCGGAACGCAGTAGGTATGAGAGAAGCTCTCTTTAGCATACAAGTGCTAAATTTCAACGATGTAGATTGTTAATTTCCCATATTTATGATGGAAATGGATGGAAATATTAACAAATATTGGAATAAACACCAGTGATCTAAGAATTATTAGCAATCTTTACTGAAATCAAACATCGTCTATCCGTATAGGGGCAGGAGAATTTGATGATATCAGAATAAAACTGGGTGTACGACAGAGATGTATAGGGGTATAGGGTTGTGTTATAGAGGTAGTACCTTTTATTGGAACGACTACATAGACCGTCATAGACGAGAGATCGTAGCCAGATATGGCGAAAATTTCACCGAGTGATTGCCGGTATAAGCAGTCTCCCACTTACTGACCAACAGCTTCGGGCATAGGAGTTGGTAAGTGGTAGGGCACTCTTTTGTCCTGGGACTGAGAAATCGGTCTCGAAGGCGGATGAACCCTACAGAATAGTCAACGGTATAAGACTGCAAAAGGTAATGGGGAACCACTGTAATAAAGACTCATAGAGTACCCCTAGTAATAATCATCGTGGCAGATATGCAAAGGAGAAGTACTGATCATGTACATCGGATAACAAGATCCGGCAGGAGATGACAAATAATTAAGTACAAGGCTTCCTCGGTCGTAAACTTGCGAAACCCTTGTATTAATAAGAAATAGACAACCATAAAAATTTCTACATGGAACGTAAGGAGCTTATTCTCTTCAGGAAAATTAGATGGAAAATGGTGAGAAAAATGTCCCACAAATAATCATGGAATGATTTATTATGCTGGAAGTTATATCACAACCCATCGATACGGAGTTAGAGTCCTCATCTCAAAAAAATGAAAAGATGCTGTAGTAAACTTTACTCCATTCTCAGAGCGTATGATGTTAATACAATTAAAAGATAAGAAGGACATAATAAACATCATACAAGTATACGCTCCGATACCAGAAAAAGAAGAAGAGGAAACAAAACAATTATATAATACTTTAAACGAGGTGATGAGAACAACAAAGAGACAACACATTAACGGAGTAATGGGCAATCTAAAAGGGGTGACCGTTTAGTTTAGTTTTGCCAAAGCGAAGATTTCAAAATAACTAATAAATTCTTTAAATTACCCCCAAGGCAACTGTATACGTAGACGTCACCTCAACACACTCTTCTTCTTCTTAAAGTGCCCTCTCCTCAATGGAGGTTGGCTACTACAATTTTAAACTCTTCTCTATCTTCAGCTGTTCTTATTAGCTGTTCAAAATTTAGCCCTGTCCATTGTCGGATGTTTCTGAGCCATGATAGTCTTTTCCTTCCTAGGCCTCTCTTTTCCCTCGATTTTTCCTTTCACTATAAGTTGGGCATATTGGTACTTATTATTTCTCAGTATGTGGCCTAGGTATGATGTTTTTCTTACTTTTACTGTGTTAAAAAGTTCTCTTTCCTTGCCTATTCTATGCAGCACTTCTTCGTTTGAGGTATGCGATGTCCATGAAATTTTGAGTATTCTCCGGTAGATCCACATTTCAAAGGCCTCCAATTTATTTACGGTTGATGTTTTAAGGGTCCACGTTTCAACTGCATATAGAAGAGTCGACCAGACGTAGCATTTTGATAAACGTAGTCGAATTTCGAGTTTTATTCGAGAATCACAAAGCAGTTTTTTTATTTTTTCGAAAGATTTTCTAGCCTATTCTATTCTCGATCTTATTTCTTGATCAGGATTTAGGCTGCTATCGATCCAACATCCCAGATACTTAAATCTATTGACCTGTTCTAAGATGTGCCCATTTATTGTGCAAGGTTGAGGTACGTTTTGGTTTTTTCGGATTGACATCACTTTGGTTTTTTTAATGTTTATTTTCATAACAAATTGCTCACAGGTCGAGTTGGTCTTGTCGATGAGTCGTTGTAGACCTGAGTCGGAATCCGCAATTAACACTGTATCATCGGCGTATCTGATACTGTTGATATTTACGCCATTCACCTTGACTCCATCCTTGGAATCCTCCAATGCTTCTTTAAATAGAAACTCGGAGTAAAGATTAAACAGCAGAGGCGACAGAACACATCCCTGTCTAACTCCTCTCCTAATTTCTACTTCTGCGGATGTGGAACCTTCGATCCTAACTCTGGCTTTTTGGTTCCAGTACAAGTTTTTTAAGAATTTGATGTCTTTTCCATCTAAACCGACTTCTTGCAAACGTTCTAATAGTAGGTCGTGTCTTACTCTATCAAATGCTTTTTCAAAGTCTATAAAGCATATAAATATATCTTTCTGTTGGTCGTAGCATTTTTGGGCGAGAACTAGTAAACTAAACAGGGCTTCTCTCGTTCCCATGCCGGCTCTGAATCCAAACTGCTCGTCTCCGATGATTGTTTCGCACTTTCTATAGATACGATTATGTACGATTTTTAGTAGGACTTTTACTGCATGACTCATAAGGCTTATCAGACGGAACTCATTGCAGTGTTGTGGGTTTGGCTTTTTTGGTAGTGGGATAAATATTGACTCCAGCCAATCTTGGGGTATTTTACCTGTATCATAAATGCGATTGAATAAAAGGACAAATAATTCGATATTTTCTTCGCTGATTAATTTGAACGTTTCTGGGTATATTCCGTCTGGACCTGGGCTTTTATTTGTTTTGAGATGATTAATTGCATTTATGATTTCAGATTTCAGAATTGTTGGCCCTTCGTTGTTATTTTCCAATCTTGGTTCTTCTCGTATGTCGTGAAAAAGAATTTTAATATAGTTTTCCCATTCTTTCAGTTTATCTTCCGTTGATTCTACAGTTTGTCATCCGTGTTCAGCATGGTGTGAAAAGTCGTTCTCTTGGTAGTCGATGTAAACTCTTTTACCTTTTTATGTAAATTAAAAAAATCGTGCCTTTGCTGCAGTTCTTCTATTTCAACGCATTTTGTTTCCAGCCATTTCTCTTTTGCTTCGGTTATTTTTTTTTCGAATTATTCTATTTAGTCTTTTGTATTCTCCGTCCTTGTCATTTTTTCCTTTAGATTCTCTTCGTTTGTTCATTAATTGTAAAATCTCTTCTGTCATCCATTCCTGTTTGTTATTTCTAGGTGTTACTTTTAGATGTTTTTCCGTTACATTGTTCATTTGTTCTTTAATAGTTTTCCACAGAACGTTTATGTCATCGTACTCGCTAATTCTCGCTAATTCAACACACTCAAGAAAAAGAAATCAGAAACCAAATAGATTACATAATGGTGACAAAAAGATACCGTAATGTCGTGAAATTTACTTAAACTTATCCTGGAGCTGATATCGATTTGGATCATAAAAGAGTAGTATCTGTGATAGAAGCTAGACCAAAGAAAATAAGAAAAACCATCATCCCACCGTTAGACTTAGGCCAGCTTAAAAGTGAACACCTACGACAAACAGTGCAAGAAGAAATAAACACCAGCTTCAGTATAGCAGAAAGTCAAATCCGCAGAACAGACAACATAGATGAAAAACTTAAGTATATAAACACTACAATAAGAACTATGGGAAAGAAACACCTAACCAGATTTGCAAAGAAATACAGGGTATGGATGACACCAAACATACTAGAGCTAATGGATGAAAGACGTAAAATGAAGAATAATCCTCAAAAATACAGAGAGGTGGATAAGAACATAAAGCAAAGAATAAAGAAGGCCAAAGAATTATGGATTAAAGAACAATGTGTAGAAATGGAAAACTATGAAAGAAAATATGACACATTCAATGTACATAAAAAAGTAAAAGAAATTACAGAAACTCAAAGAAGACATCAAATAAGTTTGAGAACAAAGACGGAAAGATTATCATAGATTTAAGAGAGAAAATTAATAGATGGAGTGAATATATAAGATAATTGTTTGAGGACAACAGAAATAACGTTGTTTAAATAATTTTTAACTTAAACATAAATCTGAGAACGATATTAAAACATTTCAGATTCATAAACGCTTTAATAGTAAAATATTTTTGTTGGCGATCGAATTTGGAAGTGAAAAAGTCAAAGGAAAAGTTTATTTTACTATTGTAGTTGATCAGCAACAAATATTTAGCAAAAAATTAATATTTTTCTCACAATAAAAACGTAATACCTACCTATGGCATTTTCTATAGAAAACTTTAAATATTGAATGTTATCAAAAGTTTTCTCAATATTATTTAATCCTTTATTTTTTTCAATGTCGTACTGTTGTTTTAAAAGCTTGATTTCTAAACTTTTTGTTTTTTGAGACTCAAACAACATTTCGTCATCTTTTGTCATATTATCGATAGCGCTAAGAAAACCTGTTAAAACTGGGAACTCCTCATTGTAGCTTAGTTTTTTCGCTGTTTCTCGAAAAACGTTTATTAGTTTGTTAATGTCTATGGCAATTTTATCATGGTTTATTCCTCTGGCAGGAAGTCTTTTCTCCGCGTGATCTTCAGTACCAGTAAACCTAAAAAAACCATAAAATAGTGTAGAATTGCATAATATAGTAGATCGATGGGGGGTCGAGTATACAGTGTAAGTAGAGAGAGCACTCAAGATGAAGAGTTGTTATTCATATGACGGCATCTAATCTCTAAACGACGTACGACGAAAGACGTTCATATTTTTGCTATTAAGCCGCGGTCCTATTTTAAGTTATAGTTACATTAGTTAGCTGTATGTTCCTGTAATTTTGGAGTTAAATAATAAAGTGTTTGTTCTAATTTGAATCGACCTGTGGTCTATAATTATTAAACCCTAGACAACAAGAAAAACCCTTCATTTTGGGGCTTGTCCGGGATATAGATAAAGGATATCGGAGAGCAATGGCAGATAGCGGATAGCAGATAGCTGACTCAACCACTGTTTTGAATTGGATTGTTTATGACGACACAACAACGCCTTGTTTACTAATACCAACTCAAGTAGATGTGCCAAGAACGAAGAACATAGCAAGAAAGATAATGTAATGTAGCATAGCAAGGAAATAAAAGAAATAAAAAAATAAGGGGAAGTTAGCTTAGAAGAGAGTAATAATTATTTAAATAATTATTATATATTCCAAATTGAATAAAGAACAAATAATTCGTCATAGTTAACGTATACATTTCAAATTAAACAAAGGATGAAAGTTCAACCTAGTTTAAGTGTATTACACAAGTTCGATATCAGGTCGCTACGAATGTTTAAAAATTACGAAAACATAGACCTTCGTTGGAAAATAACACAAATACAACACTACATGCCAACAACGAGAATTTAGCTGAGCTAGCAAGTCACACCACCGCATGATCCATATGTTTTGCACGTGGAGAAAGGGCTCGATCAGTATAAACTCGAGGACGCCTCGGTAAATGTTAATTGAGGGTACGGGTTCATAAAAAACGAAGGAAGTTAGCCAGCGGGTTAATAGTAGGCCGGCACCCGTGAGTTGTCAATGCCAGAAGTGCTGGCGACCGGGCAATAATTACGCAACACCAGTAAGCACGCTATTGTAGTCCGACAGGACAGTAGTACCGCATAAGTGCCGGGTAGTTGGTATCTCGAAAAATTCGGGGTAGTTTACGGTGCTTCAACAGACGGATTTTAAATTCCAGTTGGACCGGAAAGGCGTATTCATTAGCTAGGGCCTAAGTACACGAAGGTAACTAACATATGTACTAACCCAGCATATATAATAATCGTAGATTGTCCACCTTTTCATTTTCTTGCTAAGGTCTCTCCTCGTCTCCCTTCGCGTCTAAACGAATCATAATTAGTTATAACTGCTATCTTGTTGTCTTAGTTGTAGTATACAATTGATTTAATACATTGTAAACTCGAAATTTGGTTTTATTGTTCTTTCCCGACAATTTACAGGTAGAGACTAGAAGATAACACTTTTCCGCTTATTCATTTCTCCGGCTTCTAAAGCAAGCCATAGACTCAACTCTTTACAGGGCCTGAAATCTGGATGATCTTTTATCCCCCTCCTATCCAAAATTTTCCTACCCTCTTGTAAACCGGCGAGGGCGAAACCAGTCCGTTCAAACTTGTGGAACTAGTAAGCCTTGCCTCAGCTCGCAGGGATAAGTATCCCAAAAAAAAAAAATTATAGACGCATTTATTACAGGTGGTGACTGGTGTCTATTACACACGTGTAAAATGTATTTTTTAATGAATATTTTGATTCGGTATGTATGTTTATGGTATTTTTCGTAATGCGCATAAGTCTTTAAGAATATACATGAACTACTATACTCGCTAAAACGATACTCAGTCATAACTGCAAGACGCAAGATTCTCGCAGGCTTAGTCTTGTTCTTGCTTAAGTCTTGCAAGGTCATTTTTGGTCTTGGTCTTGCTAAAATTAGGCGATCTTGGTCTTGGTCTTGCAAAAACGCAAGAACAAGACCGAGACTGCAAGACCAAGACCGATTTTGGGCAACACTAACCATAAGCCAATTAGCTACAGTAGGACTGGTTAATAACAGACAATTTCTCAAAAAAGTTATTTATAAGGACGGAGGGGCAAACATGCAGTATCACGGTGGAGACGCCACTGCTACTGACAATCGTGAATAGTCATTACTTGTATTATATATATTGTCTATTTCTACGCCTAAAAAATTTGCACTCTTCTTCTATTTACCTTAATGGAACCAATATTTACAGATTGTACAAAAGAAAACTGTACCTATATATTTTATCTAATTTATTATAACGACACTTACCTTTCCACGACATCTTTATACCTCAAAAGATTTTCATCGAAAGCTATATTATTTCGAGTATTTAACGTCCGCAAAATATAAAGTTCCTGTAATGCTTCTACTAGAACACTCTCCATAGCTGTTGTCATAAGATTTATTTGACCAATTAGTTGAGACACTCGAGGCCATCGGCTGCTCGAAATTGAAACTTTTTCAGATTCATGTTTTTGAGTAGACTTATCACTTTTATTCCCAGACATATTAAAAAAATCCACAAAAAGGTTAAACCAACATGACAAATTCGATGTCAAAACAAAACTAAACGTAAGACATATGTTAAATGTCAATTGAGAGTAAAGTCGGCTTTGTTGTCCGATTTTTAGCAAGTTGCTTATTATATTTGAAATACCGCGGTATATTGAGCGAGTACCGATCTAAAGGTCGATTCAGACACATCAGTCCCGTTACAGTCTCGGCGCCGAACGGGTCCTGTTTGGTCACAGAACTATCAACTATTTGACAGCTGGGAAACTGTTCGTCAACTGATGAATGTCAATGCCGGCGCCATATTTCTATTAAAGAATATTTTGTATAACGGATTGTTCGGTTCGGCGCCAAGACTGTGACGAGACGTGACTGATGTGTCTGAATCGACCTTAACAAGATAAGTTCCCGTCTCCGGTCGGATTTAAACTCACGATCCGTGAATTTTTACTCTCAGTATGTTAACGCCCTTACCACTATGCCATTAAAACGTTAAAATAAATTATTATTGCTTTATCCCTTTGTGGGCCAGTGGTCCCACAGTGGAACTACAATTTCACGAATTTTTATCCTACTATCCCGATAAAGGTTTTAGTGCGCTTTAGTGTGTTCTAGTAGGTGATAGATGTGATACGATTTTCGCTATTTTGCGCGCCAACTACTTAAAATTTCTACTCTAACGCAAACAAATTGATAATGACAGGTAAGACGAGGTAAATTAGGTTAATTAATGGTTGTTAAAGAGGGTGTCGCCTGATATGCGCTCGACGTTTTGCGCCCTTACCTGAAATCGGCCGGTTTGCGCTCTAACACTTTCTTAATGGAGATGTATAGCTAATTATTTTCTTATATCGACCGTTTTGCGCTCTCTTGTAATTGACGTTTAATTTTATTCTACCATAACGATCAGGTAACGGATGGGCTAGTAAAATTAGTTTAAAAAATCATAAAAATAAAAAAATAAAAATAAACCATCTTCCCTTCACACTTTCATTCAGGCTTAGGACTGTCATAGTTTATACATAATATAAACATTGGCGTGTTTAGAAGATGTTTTTTTTTCGTTTTTTTAATTTGTTTTTTTGGTTTTTTTTATTCTTTTTGATTTTTTTTCGTTTTTTTTCAAACTTTTTATACAGTAAAATACAAAAAATTCTTGAGAATAAAAAATTGTCTATTTATTGCAGCTTCTGGATATATGCCAATGTCCTTAAACAAAACCTTAAGTCCCTTTGATGAATTTCGTTTATGTGATGCAGCACTTTATAAAATGTTCAGGTTCTACTGAAAAGAGAAGAATGCTTCTAAAATGCGACAGTCATGAGTAGACTTCGGCAAATATGCATATTGCATATTTTGCATATTGTGCATATTTTATGCAAATATTTCATATTTTTTCATATTTGTATAAAAGTTTGCATAAAGTGCATAAAAGTTCCGATTTTTATACTGTATTTGAAAATTTTTAAACATACCAATTTATCTCAATTCTTGTATAAAATTTTGTAGTCATTTTAATCAAGAAATGATCTAAGTACGTAATCTCTACAGGTACAAAACATTTACAATTTCAAAGAAGATCAATTTAAGTAGCCCTCAACATTCTTAGAAAGTCTCGGTCACTGAGGCATTCAGTTATTGGATAATCGCTAAGGGTTCGCTCATTTGCATTTTATGATCTAATCCCCAAATCTATCTACAATTTATTGTATCTTAACAGCAGGTAAACGGCTAATAGTTTTGTTCCTAATTTAGGGATTTTCCAAAATCTCCCAGTTTATTGAATTAGGTACCTAAACATTTCTAATTTGATGCTCAGATTTGTAAATCATTTTTGTTTTGATATTCAAAGCGTAAACACTCGTTGTGCGTAACAAAAAGGAAGATTGTGATTTTTTAATGCCTAAAACAACCAGTGCTTCAACTTGGATTAAACCTTATAAAGAGCTGTCTATGGATATGGGAAAAATCTACTGTTCAGTCTGTGGCAAAAATTGTAAGTATCTAATATTTTCTATTAAATATCTAATATTTCATACAGACAGGGTGTTTCCAAATGACACTTACAACGTTTGACTGTAGATACTTCTCGAAAAATTGAACAAAACGATATAGTTAATGAGGGGTCAAACTTATTTACTTTTCGAGATACAGGGTGTTAAAATTAAAAAAAATTAAATTCTTTTAGTTAATAACAACAAAAACTTTAAAACCAATAAACGTATTTACTTAAAATTTAGTACTCGTAGGTTGTTTTTAAATGAAAAATAGCTTCCTTTAGTGAGAAAAAATTGTCCATGGTACAATACAATGGTGTGTATTTAGAAAAATTTTTCACCTTTACTTTTTTTATGAAGTCAGCTATTCTAAAACACAATTATTTTTATTGTAATTGAATTAACAAAAAAAACTTTTGTTGAATTTTAAAATAAGTTATATGATGTACTAATGGTTAGTAACAAAAACTAATTTGTGAATTAATAGTGCATTTAAAACACTTAGCGAGTGTTTTTTTTTCAAACCAGTTATTTGATTAACCAAAAACACCTTGTATATTTTTATATTTTAAAGGTTGGGTTAAAATAAAGGTTTTTATTTTTATTTATAGATAGCATGTGAGAAGAAATTTCAGATAGACCAACATGTGAGAACTGCTTCACACATTGCAAAAAAAGGAAAAATAGGAGGAAGACATCAAACTTCAATGGCTAAATGTTTCCAATCTACTTCAAAAAAATTAGATGAGCAAGAAACTTTTAATGAAGACTTGTGTCGCGCATTAGTGTCTGCAAATATACCGCTTTCAAATTAGCAAATGTAACTTTTAGTTCGTTTCTAAAAAAATATTGCAAACTTAATGTTCCAAGTGATCGGTCTCTAAGAAGAAATAATGTGAACGGGCTATACTCGTCGGTGTTAATTAATATTAAGGAAGAAATTGCAGATAATTATTTTTACATATCTGTAGACGAAACCATTGATTCCTCAGGAAAGTATATTGCTCATTTATTGATTGGTGTTCTTAAAGAAGATACCTTACCAAAATCTCATCTTATTTCATGCCAGCAACTTGAGAAAACAAACGCTTTAACAATTTCGCGTTTTATACAAGAAACATTAGCAACTTTTTTTCTTCCGACAACTATTCCTTCTAATCAATTACTGCTTATTTTATCGGATGCTGCTCCTTATATGGTGAAAGCAGGACAAAATTTAAAAAGATTTTTCCCAGATTTAATACATGTTACTTGTGTAGCGCATGGATTAAACAGAGCTGCAGAGGAAATACGAAAAAAGTTTCCTCTTGTAAATACCATGATATCCAGTGTCAAAAAAGTATTTCTTAAATCTCCTATAAGAATTCAACTTTATAAAGAAATGCTACCTAACATTCCTCTTCCACCACAACCTATTTTAACGCGATGGGGAACATGGTTAGAAGCAGCTAATTTTTATGCAGATCATTTTGTTAAAGTAAATAACATAATTGATACCTTAACAGATGAAAGTTCCCAATCTCTTTTGGATTCTAAACAAACTTTTCAGAGTAACTTGCTTCAACAAGAACTTTCATTTATAAAATCAAATTTTAGTTTTGTTCAAAAAACAATTACTCAGTTAGAATCACCAAAACTGTCATTGTTCGAAAGTACAGCATTAATAAAAGAATTTGCGTCATGTTGTCGGAACGTTAAAGGTAATATTGGAAAAGATATTTTAAAAAAATTTGAAGCTACTATGGAAAAAAATAAAGGTTACCATATTCTTGCTGAAGTAGTCAGTGTTCTAGCTGGAAATATTTCGGAAACAATTAATTTAGAACCAAATGTTTTGGTTAGTTTGAAAAATGCTCCCGTTACATCAGTTGATGTTGAAGGAAGTTTTTCCATATATAAATATATGTACTCAGACAGAAGCCACAAGTTTTTGTTAGAAAATTTTGAACACCACTTGGTCATTTATTGTTACCATAATTCTAAATAAGTTTATTCATACTTAAAAATGATGTAGTTACTTAAAATAAATGTAAATCTTAATGAATAGTAGAAAATATTTAGTTATGTACACTTTTTTTTTTAAATAAAATTGTTACTATTTTACGATTTTTTTATTTATTTGTATGCATATTTTGTAAAATATTTGCATATTTTCGGGTAAACACGTGCATATTTATGCGCATATTTTCTACATTTTTATTTGCATATTTGCCGAAGTCTAGTCATGAGTGCCACTTGTCAATTGAGGCAATAGAACTAGCAAGAGCTAATGGGATGCACATTCTAACAGTTCCACCCCATTGTACCCACATGATGCAACCACTGGATGTGGGATTGATGAAACCTTTTAAAACATATTAGTCTAATCCAGGCCAATGTTTTGGAATCTATCACGTGGCCGCATGTATTGGAATAGCACATGGCCGTGCCATTACCGCAGAGCATTATATATTCTTAAAAAAAACAGGAATACTTCCAGTTAACAGGCACATTTTTACCGACGACATGTTTGCTCCCAGTTTGCTATTGAAAGACCTAATCCTCCAGACAAAACTCTTTCTGATGAACCTCTAACATGCGAACTATCTACAAGTCTACCAACTTTAGAATCTGAAAAACCACCCTCATCTCCCCAAATTTCAAGCGAAAACTTTCAGCGACCAATCGACACTCTATCAACATCTTCTTCTTAAGATGCCGTGCATTTCTGCGTAGGCGTCCATCGTACATCGTCTTGTCAGGTGAGATGTTAAATATTCAGGATTAAATAATTCTGTTTTTAGCAGCATTGCGAAGCATTTCATAGCTGTGGATTCCTGTCCATTGTCGAATATTGCGCAGCCATGACATTTTTTTTACGTTCCAGACCTCTCATACCATCTATCTTCCCTTCGAGTATCAGTTGCTGAAAAGTGTATCTTTCTCCTCGTAATATGTGCCCCAAGTATGCAGTCTTCTTACTTTTTACATATCTAGCTTTTCAATCAGCATCAAGCTGACAAAACTATACGCCTATGCCCACTCAATAGCCTGGCTGTTATTTAAGTCCCGAGGAGATACGAGGA